TACCTTGTGCTTGTCCCTTCCCTGAGGCAATGATCACAAGCAACTTAGCTGCTTGCATAGAAACAAGGGCTAAGAAGGCAAAGAAAACTCTTAGAGGTGGGCAGAGGGAGTCAATTAACACTGAAAAAACAGTATTATTACATTTGCTTAAATATGTCCAGAGACACACCAGTGAGTAACTCCTTTCCCTCTTCCCAGCCCAGGGAAGACCTATTCAATTTTTGGACTGTGCTGTTAGGATGAACTCAGTTGTTCCAGGTTTAACATCCCCAGTTCTTTCCTTCCTTTATTATTCAACTATTCACTCTCCTGTGACATTTATTTAAGCCTCTCTTGTGTCCTGGTTGCTTTCTTTGAATGTGTCCCGTGTGTCTCTTTTAAGCTCAGTGGCTGAGCCTGGCCACCACCTGTGGTCTGACCCAGGGCACTTGCATAATTTCAGGTGGTCTCTGTTTTAGTGATGCACCCTGGGAGTTCTAGGCTGCAGCAAGCTGTGTTTGACCTACTACACTGCAGCCTGGGCGACAGAGCAAGACCTCTTCTCTAAAAAAATAAAATAAAAATGCTACCCAAACCTAATGCAAATGTATTGTTTTTAAACAAACCCTGGGGTGCAAGTGTGCGTGTGTATGCACACACGCGCAGGCTTGCTGTAGTCAAGGATACGGGAACTCAGCAAATTAATATGGCCACACAGAGCAAAAGCAGATGAGGAGTATCTTCCTGCAACTTCCCTTGGCCCCAAGAGAGGCTCTACTGGCTGGGAAGGGGGCATATAGTTACCAGTAACATCATCCATTTAAGATGAGGTATTGCAGGATCCAAGAAGCTTACTTTTGTGCTAGGCCAGAGTCACTTTGTATCGTTTTTTCATCGCCATTCGGGAAGAATTTCCACAGTCAGTAAAATCTCTGTGCTTGATTTTTCCACTTAAGGAGATGTTTGCGAACTTTAGGCTCTGCTGGTTTTCCAACCAAACTCTTGTCAGAATATTCCATCTTCACCTGGGGAAAGGCAGTCAGTGTGCAGGCATTTCTGAGCACTCGCTCTCTGCCCTCAGCTCTTGGGCATCCTGGAAAGCCCTTTTGTTTACAGCACTGTGGAGCACATCAGTGCTGTTTAATAGTGGCGTCACCTGGCTGTGGAGAGATTTGCTCTATGCAGTGTAGCATAGTGGTAGACCTGGCTTTGCCAGACAGTGTGAAATGTACAGCGGTTGTCTTGTATTTTACCTGCCCTTCATCCCTTAATTCCCAGGGGTTAAGAACATACAAATTCTTATTAAAGTTTTTCCAGAAGAACATACACCTGGGAAGATCATCTCTGTCAATGTGAACGAAGAGTAGACGCACCATCCAATCTGGAAAAATAATAGCTCATGAGAGACTGAATCTACAAAGGGACAATGGCCAGACCATATAGGACAATGGAACTGTGAGCCATGACCTCCACAGCCACCCACCCGGGCAGCCAAACCACAACCTCCACAGCATCAGCCCATTATTGTCAGAACTTGATCAGTGACTACTGCCTGCTTCTCTAATTTTTACTCTCACTTATAACTCAGGATTAAGCAGAGAAAGTCAAATATGCCTCCAAACCAATCACTTTAGATGTCTGCTTCTGGTTAGCCCCTTGTCATCTGCCCCCTGCCAACAACCTTCAATCGGAACAACCCAAAGTCTTCCCTTTGTTCATTATAAAGTTTCTCATTCCCTGCCTGTCCGTAAGTCTCCACCAAATGCAAGTGACAGTGGCTGGCTCCTTGTTATAGCAAGCTCCAAATAAATAACCTCTGTTTGTTCTCACTTGGGGATGTCTTCATTGACACATTCCATCATTTAATCCTTACAACAACCCTAGGAATAAAATATTACTCTTATGTCCCTTGTTCTGATGAAGGCTTCAGGGGATAGATTATCTGCACACAGTCACATGATTAAGTGATGGGCCAAAATCTGCATCTGGGTTTGTTGGCCTTGAAACTGGTACTGTCCCACTGTGAGTACTTAGGAGCCAGGCATTGATAATCTGCTGTAGGATTGGTAGGAGTTGAGATAGGCAGAAGATCATGTGTTTTTTGTTGTTGTTGTTGTTTTTAAATATGTCTACATTAGGTCCTCAGGCCAGAGATGCTAGCTAATCACCAGTTTGGAGCACTCCTTCCACGTTGGTAATGAAGTAGATAGACTAAAGATGGCTCCTGTAGATCTAAAATGCAGTCAGTCTTGCTCTAACTATTAGTAAAAGGTCCTAACCGTGTAAAAAAGTTCCCAGAAAAAGTTCCCAGAGGAGGGAGGAGGGAGTCGAGGAGGCCTGTAATTAAAAAAAAAAATAGAGAGGTCTTGTTCCAGAAAAGTCCCTTGTCCCTCAGTGTACCTTTCTATTGTTCACTTAACTAACAACTGACCGCAAAGTTCTGCTTCTGTGATTTTCTGTGATTGCTTGCTTGCATAGCTACCAGCCCTCAGGGTATAAAAAATTACGCAAAAGCTTTGTTCAGAGCTGCTTCTCCCTCCTTGCATGGAGTGGTGACAGCCCCTGCGCAGGTAAAAATAAACTAATTTGGTTGATTGGATTCTGGTGTCCGAGTCCCCTTCATCCCAACAGTAAGTGCCGTTCAGCTGGGTTTACGTTTCTCCAGGCTCTTGAATCTAGGTAAGGCCTTGTAACTATTTCTGGCTAATAGAATGTGAGCCTAAATGATGTGTGTTACTTTGGAAGAAGTGGTTAAATTTCTGGTAGGCCATGTCTACACACTCTCTCATAATTCCATGACAATAGTGGAGGGTCATGTTGCAGATGCTAGCAATTTAAGTTAGAACCTGGATCCCTGAGTTTGTGCTTAGAGGAGAGCCACCCAGGAGAGCTGCCAGACCAGGAATATCCCTATTGCGTTTGGCATAAATGAGAAATAAATGTTTATTATGTTAAGTCCTCGAGGTTTTGGGGTTCTTTCAGCAGTTATCCTGCTATGATTAATATACTTCTCTTTTGGGGAAAGGTTAGGCACTCAGATCATTTCCTAGTAACAATTATATTTCACATTGACAACTAATATATACATGCTGATGTTTTCTTAAAAGTGTTGGTAGAATTTTTAGCATGTAGAACTAGAAATGCAGGCACAGTAGACTCTTGTACTAGGAGCTGACATTGAATGCAATTGATTGTAGCCACACAGGGAGCAGGACAGACAAGGTAAATAAATTATGAATTCCAGGGGAAAGGAGTTTGCAATAGCTGCTGTTTCATTTCCCTTTGAACCCCCTGCGACTGTAAACACGCTTATAGATATATTTTATTAATCATTGTTTTGATGTATTTGGATTTTGCAAGTGGCTATTGTAGCTAGGGGATTTCTGGACACCCCTCCAGCTAATCAGATTAGGAACACGAATGCTGTGGTGACAAACTGGCGTATATATGAAAAGACAAATGGAAAAGCTCTCCCTTACCAGCACTTGTAACTAGCTATTTGTTTAAAATAACAGCTTTAGACCTCTTTCCAACTGTGCTGTCCTCACTTCTGTCTACAGATGATGGACTTTAGACTGAAAATTACATGAGAGATACTTAACAAATGGATATCTTTCAAGGGACATTATCAGAATAAAACACTTCAAAATTCACTTTATGCTGCTTGAAGAGAGATAGCATTGAAATGATATATCGAAAGAGCCATAACTACCAGAACTTAAAAGGACCTGTTCATTTTATAAAGAAGGCAAAGTATGTATATCATTAATGGTACAGCAGGCTACATCTTAAGAGGAAAAGATAGGCTTTGCATGTGCTCCAAGCTTAACCTCGGCAAAATGTGTGAGAGACAAAGAGTACTCCCAGTTTATTTCTATCTCTACTTCTTTGGGCAGTGGTAACTACTAGTCCCAAACCTTGGTTCTTTTCAAGGACAGCTCACAATGAAGTCTGACCCAATCTTGCATCATTCCAAACCCCAGGTCCTGGTGAGATCACTTCTTAACCCTGATAGCCCATTTTAGTAATCTTGCCATATTCTTGTGCTATATAGAAATAATTTTAACGTTTTTGTCTGCTTTTTGCTTTGCCTTCTTTACTACTTGTCTGTTCACTGCTGTATCTCCAGTGCCTAGCACACTGTCATAGAATATAGTCACAATTTTTGGAATATACACAGATGTGGGCAAGGTGACTGCAGATGGTGGGAATAGGGGAAGTCTTAACATCTAAACATAAAATGGAACTTGGGACAAAATGTGAAAGTTGGGTATATTTCAGTATGCAAAGAGAAGGAAAAATACTCCACATGGGGAATGAAACATAGCAGGAGATACATCTAGGAGTCAGGAATGAGTTCAGATATGTTATTTGGATAGTAAGCAGACAGTTGTGGGGACAGTGTGGAAGAATGGAAAGTTTGTGTCATGGCATTAGAATGTCAAGCATGAATAGAAGTATGGAAAATTCTTCACTGAAAGTTTTAGGTTAGCCTTGCTTTAACTCAAAGGTCATTGTAAAATGCTTTTTGTGGGCTAACTTTACAAGTTGGAGCCACATGATTCAATTTCTATTATCCTGTGTGGTTCGTTCGCATTAAGCTCTCTGTAATACTATACATGTTAAGACCAGAATAAAAGAGCATTTATTGGTTTCATGGCCTGCCACGGGCTGAATGTTTGTGTCCCCTCAAAATCACATGTTGAAGCCTATATTCCCAATGTGATGGTATTCAGGGGTGAGGCCTTTGGGAGGTGGTTAGGTCATGGGGTCAGAGCCCTCATGAATGGGATTAGTGTCCTTATAAAAGGGTGAAGAGACCAGAGTATGCTCTCTTTCTTATGTGACAGTGCAGAAAGAAAGGGGCCATCTGTAAATCAGGAAGAGGACCCTCAAGAGGAACTTGACCGTGCTGGCACCCTCATCTAGGACTTTCGCCTATAGAACTGTGAGAAGTAAATGTTTGTTGTTTTAGCCATCCAGTCTATCATATTCTGTTATAGCAGCCAAACTAACTAAGATGTGGCCCCAAAACAAAAGATAGAAATTTATTTGTTACTCAGCCATTGTACTTTTCCACCCCTGGCCCTAGGATGGAAGAGTCTTATGGATAAAGAAGCATTTCCTGGGGAAAATGTGATTATGGCAGACACAATGTTAGTGTCTCCCACGGACAGATTTCAGTTGCTTGGGTTCCGACGTGTCCAGTGCTGCGGGAGCGGGGCTGAATCTAAGGTGTCATTCTGGTGGGGTGGAGGTACAGCCAGCCGCCATACCCCCAGTCTATTTGGGGACTCAGATTTTTTGTGATCTCATCTGCCCGCTTCCCACCAACTCCTGATAGTTAGAGAAGAGCAAGCTTCTCATTGGTTACTCTCCTGTAAAATTTTTACATGTGAAGCAGGGATCCCATCTCTCCGATTTATTTCTTCCTTATAGGAAAGCAGAGGAGTAGGTGGTCTAACTACTTTCAGCACAGCTATTTTAGCTCACTTAGGGAGATTGATTTAATAAATCCGAATATTCTTCTGCCTCAAACCTGTTTTCCAGCAAAAATAATAATAATTACTAATATGCATTTAGTGATTATATTGCTCAGGGTTCTCCAGAGAAACAGAATCAATAGGCTGTATCTACCATGTATTGTGAATTCTTTGTGCTCAGTCTACCAGTTCAAATGCCAGTCTATTCCAGAAGCACCCTCACAGATATACCCAGAGATAATGTTCTGTCAGCTATCTGGATATCCCTTATGCCAGTCAAGTTGACACCTAAAATTAACCATCACCCTTATATATTATTTAATTTATTCCCCAAGAACCAAGTATTTTTATGATTCTCATTATGCACAATTTATTTCCCAAGAACCAAGTATTTTTATGATTCCCATTATGCATATCAGGAGACTATGCTGAGAGTTTAAGGAACTTCTCCAACAGTATACAGTCGGTGAATGACAGAGTTATCTGTGGATTCATGATACATTTTGATCAAAAATATAGTCACTATATAATGCTTAGCCTTTGCCTTCATTTTAAAAGGGAATGATTCTCATATTGAGGCAAAAATCTTCACGTTTTTCTTTTGCGTCTCCAAGTTTAGACAATCACAAATGTAACTTCAAGAGAAGTGCTTGGCAGTGATTATTCAGGTAGAACTAGGAACACTCCAAGAATGCAGTGATCTCAATATCCACTTGTCGGATGGCCTGGGCTCAAATCCCAGTGTATCATTTACTAGCTGTGTAACTTAAGCTTGTTTTCTCATCTGTAAAAATTGGCATCGTTCTTACTTCTCAAGGGGTGTGAGGCTTAATTAAGATGCTATATGTAAACCACTTAGCACTGCACCCAGCACATGCAAGAGTTCTTTAAATGCCATCAGTAATTTTTTCCAAAGTATACGTTTGAATCAATAATGGTAGAACTATATTTGTCGTTCAAGGATGTGCACTGCCTTGCCTTTCTTTCCCCCGATAGAGCATGTGTGTTAGAGTGCCTGGCATTCCAGGTAATGAGAGAATGAAGCAGAGTGAGCAGATGCTTCTAACCTGTAGAAGAGACTACAGAAGTGACAAAATGTATTGTCATATACAGTCGTGTGTCACTTACTGATGGGGATATGTTCTGAGAAATTTGTTAGGTGATTTTGTAGTTGTGTGAACATCACAGAATATACTCACACAAACCTAGATGGAATAGCCTACCGTATACCTAAGCCATACGATATAGCCTATTGCTCCTAGGCTATAAATCTGTGTACCATACTGAATACTGTGGGCAGTTGTAACACAATGCTATGTATTTGTGTATCTAAACATAGAAAAGGTACCGTAAAAATACAGCATTATAATTTTAAGGGGCCACCATTGTACATGCAGTACATTATTGACCAAAACATTGTTATGCGGCTCATGACTGTATTTGTGTCAGGGAATTAAAAATTAATAAGGTGTGTTTGGAAACTGAGATTAAAAGAGGGATCGTAAAGTGTTGAAAGGACTCCTGTTTGAATACTGACATTCTCTAGCAGTGTTCCTAAACTTTTGGGGTCATGATTATAGTTCATAATTGTAGAACCAGGGAACATCTACCCTCCAAATGCACATACACAGACGATTTTGAGGATTCACAGAAACATCCTCTGTGTCCATCTGTATCATTGCTTTCAGGATGAGCACACCTGGCCTGGAGAGGCGTTGATGATTCTTCTACATCAGGAAGCTTTCCTCAGTGGTGACCACGGATTTGGAGATTGAAGTCTGAGGAGGAGTTTTGTAGGTAGGAAAGAGAGGAGTGGACGGGATTTCATGGATGAAGTTACAGAAGGGCGGAAGCGAATAGTCGAGTGGCCTCTGGGGAAGAGCAAGTCGGCTGGAACTAGGTAAACAACAGGTGTTTTTATGCCACGCCGAGGATTCCAGACTGGTGGTTATCAGTGTGGTCTCCTCAGTGGTTTCCAGGCTTAGGATGGGGCTAATGGACGTTTCAAAGCCCCTAGAGGAGCTACAACTAAACAACTATATTTTATGATTTATATATAAGATTTTGTTTGAATTAAAGATTTTATAGCTTTAGAATGTTGAAAAAAGGTTACAGGCTATAGAGACCAAAGGAAATTTTAAAGCAGGAGATTGCCTCGAGCCCATCCACATCTGAAAAGATAAAGCATGCCACCACAAGAACACCAGTGGGGAGGTCAGCATGGGTCTCGCCTCTAGCTTGGTGCTGTCCAGACTTTCTGTGACGTTGGGAATGTTTTATATCTGTGCTGTCCAGTACAGAAGCCTACGGTAGCCACGTGTGGCCTTTGAGTATGTAAAATGTGGCTAGAGTGATGGAAGAACTGAATTTGTAATATTATTTAATTTTAGTTAGTTTAAATTTAGATAGCTATATGTGGTAAATGGCTATATTTTGGATAGTGTGACTCTAGATTAATGATGTCCCATCTCCAGAAGGGAATGTAGCCCTGCCCACATCTTGATTTTAGCTTATTGAGACCCATGTCAGACCTCTGACCTGTACAACTGTAAGATAATACATTTGTATTTTTTAAGCCACTAAGTTTGAGGTGATTTGTTATGGCAGCAGTAGAAAAGTAATACAATTATAAACCTCAAATGGCATCATTAAAGGGGCATTGGACAACCTTATTTCAGGCTAAAAGTCACCAACTGAGATGATTTTTTTCTTTTTGAAAGTTTAAGTAGTATGTGGTCATTATTCAAATTTGGAGAAAGCCCTTTCTTAGGGCAGATTATACTAACAATAATATTTGGATATATTCTGTCCTAGGTTTTTATTCATATTTTTATAGTGGAGATGATAATGAGCTAAAAGTTACTGAGTGATTATGTGTCAGGCCCTGTTCTAAACATTTAAATAATATTAACTCATTTAATCCTCATTATAGTCCATGAGTTAGACACTGTCTTCCCATTTCACAGATGAAGAAACTAAGGCAAACTGATGTGGTCACTATTCAAAATTTGTACACTGCCTTATCTGATTAGACATGGCAAAGCAAGGTATCTGTTCCAGGCAGTAAGTTTTAGAGCAAAGCTTAATCCTATACTGTACTGCCTATATTCTGAATATACTACTTTTAATCTTGATTTTTTTTTTCACTTAAAGATTGTCCCATATTATTAACAACTTCTAATGCTGTTTCACACTGTGTAGGTGGCACAAATATCACCTTTGTTTTTGATGCATTTTTGCCAAAATAATTACAGTGATCTCCTTTGTCAATGAAAATAAATATTTTGGAAATACAGATATCCTTTACCTTAAAGATGAAATTAGTACAATGCTATTTTATTAATAGAAAGAGGGGTGTGTAGGAACAAGTGTTGACTAAGTTTATAAAGTTATTTACTTGAAACTCGCAGTTAATTTTCCTATAAAGTGATACATTATTGGATTTTCAATAGCCCCACCTTCCCACATGCCTTTTTTTCCCCATAACATAATGGAATTACTAAATGCTATTAGTGCACTGAGGTTCATCCCAAGAACTTATATATAAGGGAAAGAGAGTTTCCCCTAAGGAGTACAACTATAAAATTAGGGTAAATTAATCAGAGCAGAGATTTTAAAGTTACCTTTAAGAAGCAGTATAGCTTCTGGGTCTATGTAAGATGTTACCCAAAGGGAGACAGAAAGTCCTTAGTTAGCCCCAGAAGAACTGAGAAATGAGCACCTTGGACATCTATCCAAGGTGGTGCTGCATCTTGTATAGGGAGCTTTAGCCAGTGACCACTGAAGGGTCAGGTCTCTTTGGAAGACAAGATACATCAGATGATTTTAGGTTATGCAACTAACATCTGCTAACTCTCTTGTTTTATTTGCATACTCACCTAATAACTTCTGGTTAGCTTTGGCTTGTTGTGTGTCTGCCAAAAGGGAAAGATTTCTCCCATTGTGTTGCCACAGGTCATACTGCCCTGTCACAATTATATTAATTGTTGTAAATTAAAAGATAGGTGTTGTAATTCTATAAATGTTTCCTGAGTTTGATTAATTCAGATGTGCCCCTGAGAGATGGGTCTATTCTTGGCGAGCCGACAAAATCAGATCTGGGTAAGAGCCTGTGAGGCGGATGGTCAATCCCTGAGCCAGGGACTCACCAGGTAGCCTGGGTCATCCCCTCTCTTTGCCTCCTCTGATATTATCATAGGCCACACTTAGGCTTCTATTATTATTTAAGCAATTTCAGTGTATGTTTGTGATAAAAGAAAAGGAAAAATATAGTTGTGATCTTAGTAATGACTACAAAAGGATGGTAAGGTAAAAAAAAAACAGAACAGTTTAATTAGAGAAAGATATAAATGCTGCTGATAACGCTGAACAGCATTAATTGAGGATGTAAAAATGTGTCAGGCATTGTGTTATGCACTTTAAATGAATTATTTCATTTAATCCTAACAACCCCAAGAGGAAGGTAGTACATTATTATGCACAATTTACCAATGAGGAAACTCAGGGCTCTAAAGGTCAAATAGCTCACTCATGGTCAGACATCCAATAAGCATAATAGAACCAAGACTGCAGCGCAGGCAGCACAGATCTTTGCCCAAATTCTTGGCCGCAGAGCTCCATTAAGGAGCTGGAAGGAGACTGTAGGGGAGCAGCCATGGGAGACTTGTATTTCTGTTTCAGGAGTTGATTTCTCTGATTCATGGCTAAGCTTTCTTCGTTTTGATTAAGCTGCGTCATTAACTTCCCATACTGACTAGTCAGGATTTGGTTCTAGTCTGAGCTTACTACTCAAACAGGGCAGAGAAGAATCTTCTAAGAAAAGTAGATAAGAATTGGAAGGAGATGAGACAGAGTGGTCAAAGATGGTACATGTGTATGGAAAAGATGGCCAGGTTAAAAAACAACAACAAAAAAACTAACCTGTGAATATCAGCAGAAGGAAAGAGGGAAGGCAGGCTTGTTGCCCCATCATAATCCTTTTGAGAGAGAAAAAGAGTGGATCAGACACCAGCAACTAGAATCATCTTTGTTTCTGTCTGGAGAGGAGGCGCGCGGGGCAGTGGAAGCCTGCTCAGTTGGATGTCTGTATGTTCCCTGGTTTGTAACTGGAAGTCCTTGCTATTGCCTTTGAGCTCTGGAACTGTTTTATTGCTTTTATAAACTACTAGTTATCCGCTTTTAGGGGAAATAACAGATGGTCATGCTGGAACTGAGCTTTTTATCTGAATCTTCAAAACCTTTTTGTGCACAATTTATGAGGTTCACTTCTTTGCAAATTCAGTGCTTTCTTGTAGCTTTTGCTTTTGAGATGAGCCACAAGAGCCTCATTTTCGTTGGGCATTGCCTATTAGTGGCAAAACTCCTTTCTTATTTAATCAGCTTCTCCAAAGGAATAAGGCTGAGTCCAGATAGGTTCTATTTATGAGGGTGAAGAGATTTTGGTGGTCTAACTAAAAATAACACCTGGAATCTGCCACCTGGGTCTCCCTTTCATATTCATCTTGCATTTTTATGCATTTTGCTCATGGAGTTCATGCTAGCAGGTCAGCTCCTATGAGCATAGAAGAAATTTGACTGGGTCAAGTGTTTGTGGCTGTAGAAAGGCCAACCTTGACTACCCATGTGGTTGGGGAGAAAGGCTGACGTAACCCAAATCCTTGCCTTGTTGAGTTGCTAATGCACAGTGGAACATTGCATATACCCTTTTGAGTGAAAAAAATACAGGTGAAACAGTATTGCCTACAAAAAAAAAAAAACCCTAATGGTATGTTTTTCATAATAACCCCAAACCTACAAGATAGTAGGATACACACTGGGCTCAGAAAACAACCAACCAAACCAAACCAAACCAAAATCAACTTTGCAGACCTAAGCACCTTCATAGCTTGTTTTCTATAGGCTTGTTTCCCAAACCGTTTGGAATCAATACTGTTCTGCTTTATTGTCCAAACTCATGAACCCATGAAAGATATTCTTAGCCAGCTTATGTGCAGTTTCTGAATACTACCTAGACTTCAAGATGGCAGTATACTTTAGTGGCTAAGAAAACATAGGCTTTAGAGTCAAAGTCTTTGGGACTACTGTTTACAAGCTATATGACTTTGGCCTAATTATTAGGTTCTTTAAGCTCTTCAGTTTTTCTCAACTGCAAAATGGAGATTACAACACTATCTTATAGGGTTGTTATGAGGATGAAATCATATATATGTACAAATATATACACACATATACATATCACATAGTCTGTATATGTGTATATATGTATGTATAAAGTGCTGGCCTGTCGTACATATGAAATAAATGGTGTTTGCATTATTGTTATTCAGTTTCAAACTTTGCTGCTGTGTTGTCTTTGTGAAGGAAGAAATGCTGGTCTCAGTGTTGTGTATTTCTTGCTTTAAGAAGTCTCTGTAAAGTTCCACAACAAGGAAGCCTATTAAAATTCTTATAGCCTAAATATTCTCAAATTTATTTAATCATCAAAATGATTCTTTCCAATAATACCTATAAACATCCTGTGGATCCACTGCTCTGTAAACACGGCAAACGCACTTTAGGAAATGCCTATTAGGACTATATAGCCATGGTCTGTGACATAGAAATGTGTGTTTGAATCCTTGTTCTATACTTCCTGCCTCTGTGACTCCAGAAAAGCACTGAATTTGACTATCTTCTTTATCAGTTAAGACTCAGCTCAGATGTAATCAGTTCTAGGAACACCAGTCCCCAGAGAAAGGGTAAGAAACCTTTCCTATAAGTACCCACTGTCAGTGCCATGCAAGGCCACACTGGAACCTGCGGCAAAACAAGAAAGTCAGTTACCCTGGTATCGTCTACATTTAAAATGAAGTACTTCACTTGCCTCATCCTAGTCCTGGCCCTGTATTATGAAATTTTCTATAGTATGCATCTCTCATACTACAGTAATTTATTTATATACATCTCCACAAGTAGACCCAAAGCTCCTGATGGGTCAAGACCATGTCTTATTAATCTTTCTATCTAGTGTACCTTGCTCAGTACCAGCACAAAGTCGGTTTTGGTGAATGTGTCTGGTGTGGAAGTTTCTCTTCTCCCATATATCCACTCCTTTACTTTGTGTTTCTTACAAAATGAACTCTATCATCATCAGAGAGGCCTTTGTTGTAAAATGGCCTCCCCTTCACCACTGCCTCAATATTTATCACTTATGTTGTTTAATTTTTCTTCATAGCACTTACCATGATCTGACATCTTTTTGATTGCTTTTTTATTATGTGTTTCCCTTGACTTAAACCTTGGTGAAGCAGGATCTTGGTCTGTTTTTTTTTTTTTTTTTCTGCATCTCCAATGCCCAAATCTAGCTGAATAGGAATGAAAGATGGTGACTCCTATGGACATTTTTTGGGAATAATGATAATTTCTGTGCCAGAATTTTCTAATACCATGAAGAGAATGCTAGACACCATGGTGTCATTTGTGGAGTGGTATTTTTATAAGTGGAATATTAATGAAGTAACAGTTAACTCTGTTTTTCATGTAGAGTATGTATCCAGTAAGGGACTAAGATCATGGCTTTTCAGCTTATGGTCTTACACACTATAGCACAGCATCAAGGCAAGCTCTTGAGTATTAGAGTCAAGTGTCTAGGCTTGAATTCTAACTTTGCCCTTTACTAATTGTGCATGATTTTAGATAAGTCACTCTATTTTTGAGGCTTAGCTTTTTCCTTTGTAGAAGAACATTGTAAATATTTAATAGCTATATCTCAGATTTGTGCTCATTTTATAAAACATAATAAATGTTAGTTGCTGCTGTTCTTTTTACTGCTATTACTACCACCACCACTGCTACCAACACCACCACTACCACCAAGTGACATCTTCTGGGAGTTTATAAGCTAAGCTATAAGGAAATAAAAGCTATTTGCTATTTATTTTTCTCACAAACTTTTAGTAGATCTCAGAGTCCAAAGGGAACCTGGCGCCAGGACAGATTGAATTAACTGATTGTATCCACTGACAGAATCCAGAAGCTGCTGTTGCCACCAGTAAGCTGTCCTTTGGGTCCTGTAACTCTGATCTCTACATCCCCTTAGGATTCTCCTGCTACCTCAGGGAGATTCCAACACCATCTGACAAAAATGTAGGGCAGTGTCCCTTAGCTAACAAGCAAGTTATGGTCTTGCACGTGAAGAATTACAAATGATTGACATTGCTGGTCTGTTGATGCTCCATTTCCCTGTTTCATGTTTTTCAGAAGGTGAGAAAGTGGTTTTACATAAATCAATCTTTCCTATTGAGCTGAGACTCTGTCAAGAAGAAGTCTAGAGGTATGACCTCAGTCTCCTTGGAAGTGGAAAGTCAGTGAGACGATGGGAACTTGCGTGACAGTCCAAGGAGCTGTTCTTGAAAGTGAATCATGACTCTTTTAGGTTATTTAAAGATTACACTGCTAAAAAGGTGTATTTGTTTATGCTGTTTTCCTGAGGACTTGAAAAGAGACAGCGGCTTCCCTTGGGAGCTTTTTCTTGTCTACCTCTGCTCCCTTTCTTTTACAACTTTTTCATTTCTTTTTAGAGAGATCACAGCAAACTCTGTGTGTGTGTGTGTGTGTGTGTGTGTGTGTGTGTGTGTGTGCATGCGTGCACATGCACGTTCTCAGTAAGTGCTGGGAAGAAAAGATAGCCCTCTTAAAATAGAATTACTGGGAACATATCTCCTTAAAAGAAGCTAAGATAACAGATTTCATTAAAACTGTGCTTTAATGGAATTGAAGGGAACTCTATCATTAAGATGTGTTTGCAGAAGGTAAGTAGAAAGTGATTTTAATTATTGAATGTTTCTAAATATATCCACCCACTCCTCCCCAACCAAGTAATACAGATCTGTAGATCCAGGAGAAACCATATAATATTACTGAAAGGTGATGAGAGATATCCAAACTGACCATGATTTGGTAAGGTCACTTCTTAATTAACCAAAATAGACAAGACTAGAATTTCCTGCTTGTATAGTGGAATAATATTTTGAAATATTACAAATATGCTTCTTTCCCCTGTATTTTCTATTAACTTTACCATGTTCTCCTTTCAGGAAGCAGCAGTAAAGTTTTCCTTTTTCCTCTCCTAAGATTTGCTATAATTTATATGCACAAAGATAGAAGAGGCAATGTTCAGATTTGGGGTTTCAGAATTAACTTTTGGAACTTGAGGTGCTGACAGATAAATCTCCAAACAGTTGTGTGAATTCTGCTTTCTTGGTATCCTCCTTCCCAGGAGGTAGGAAGTCTTACAGAGAAGTTGCGTGGCCAAGGCAGCTTAGGCTGGTAGTTTAGAATGGCAGCAGGAGATGCCCAGGCAGATGTGGGCAGCTTCAGAGTGTCCCCATCCTTTCACAGTATGGAGTGTGGAGTGCAGAGCAGCAGAATGTTTGCCTGCGTGGCCCACAGGGGTACTCATGTGGCCCAAGAGCTCGGACTTGGAGAAGCTTCATGGTTAGAACAGGAAAATAATGGTAGGAACCAGACAGAAACATGCATGTCTTAGCTGATGGATTGCCAAGGCATAATCTTGGTTTATTAAATTTCCCTTTTCAAAAGAGATCGTTGTCACATGAATTTGTGACAATTGTAAACATATTTGGGAAATAATGAGAGATGATTAGGTAAGTTAATATGGTAGAACCTCGAATGCTTGGCATGAAATTTTGACTTGATACATTTGGCAAGTAAAAATAATTGCAGTTTCTCTGGAAGGATAGTGACAAGGCAAAAAAAAAAAAACGCTTTAATTGGAAGACTACAGAAGATATTAGGAAGAACAAAGACATTTAGATTTTTAAGGCTAAAGACTGGGTCTTATTCATCTTTATGCACCTAGTGCCTACTAATACAGTCTGCCACACAATTTATTGAGCACACAAGTACTCAGTAAATGTTGAATGAAAAAAAGAGAAAAATTCTATCTATTTTGTATCCTCATTAAAATATGAAAGGATTCCATCAATTTAGGGCAGATAAGAGGAAGGTTTTCCTGGTGGGAAATTGTTACCCTATGAAATAGAAACTGAGGGAAAATGTGCAACATCTTGGGAGGTCTCTATGGTTTAGATTTGTTCTAGCCGAAATGCCAGAAGTAATTTTGCTGACTTTTCAGCACTAAGATGTTATATATATATGACTTAGTCAACTCTATTATGCAGAGTTGTTAAAAAATGTGCCTGAAAAGACATAAAGGAACCTTAAATGCATATTGCTAAGTAAAAGGAGCCAGTCTGAAAAGGCTACATAGTGTACAATTCCAACTATATGATATTCTAGAAAAGGTAAACTATAGAAATAGTGAAAAAAAATATATATAGATAGATATATATCAGTGGTTGCCAATGGCCAGGGGAGGGAGGGATAAGTTGGTGGAGCACAGGGGAATTTTAGGACAGTAAAATTATTCTGTATGATACTGTAATGGCGGGTACCTGTCATTATACATTTGTCAAAACCCATAGAACTGTACAACACAGAGACTTAAAACTCAAGTTAAGTATGAAATTTAGTTAATAGTGTGAATTGGAACAAGTGTATTATACTACTGCAAGATGTTAATAATAGGGAAACTTTATGGGGGAAGAGAGGGAGTTAACTCTTTGTTTTCTGCTCAGTTTTTCCATAAACCTAAAACTGCTCTAAAAAGTAGCTCATTAATATAACATAAATCTCTGTAAATCATCAAAACATAGAGGAATGAGGGTTTTATTCATTTGAGAGACCATTTTTTTCTTTACTAACATGTTAGTGAGAATTAGCGTATCTCCCCTTCTCTACCTATTTGGAAGGATTAAAAGGCATTGAGAAAAGAACCATTATTCTTCTCTGTCAGACAAAAATAAAAGGGAATTATAGTAGTTAGTTCCTTTCTGCCTACTCTAAACTGGAAGATACAGGAGAAAAAAAGACCCTTCTTTGACTTTTCTCCTTGGCAATTGGTGGCTTATGTTCTTGGCAGTTAAAGCAACAGACATGTGAATAGGCATATGGAAATCAAAGGGCAGAGTGTAGTCAAGTCCAGTCCTCATTTAACATTTTACAAAAGTGGGGCCCACTATTAAAAAGGAAACCGCAAATCCCATCCCCATATCTTAGATTGAGCCCCCTTCTCCTGCATTTCCCTGGGGTTTGTCTAAGGTTACCCTCATTCTTTGGGCACATGGCAGTTCTCTTGGTGCCACCCCAGCCTGCTATATGATGCCAAATGGTATTTCTAGTTTGTATTTCATTCTTATCCAGTTATTAGAGCGAACCTAGCCTTCTGTTGAATTTTTTAAACTTTGTTGGAAATTGAGCAGATGGATTTGAATTCCTAATTTTCTTAAAAAATGTGCCAAGTACTTGTTCCTTTGTTCCTTATTTTCCTCTTGACCAATTCCTTGCATTTTTCCTCTTTAAAGGCACCTCACTGATTAGTCTTATACCTCTGTGTTCTAAGCATCTCATTGGAAGCTAAGTTCTCTAGAATTGACTCCCCTTTTGTTTTGATGCATTATCTTCCTAGTTTCACACATACATAGTGTATGTATACATAAGCATAAATATCACTGAAATAATTGAAAATCATGCTAAAATCCTAAAATATAATTCCTACTTGAAGATTGGAAAGACATATTTGTCTAGTGTTCTATTGAGTACTAACCATGAACCAGTTACTTTGCAAAATGTTTAAGGTAAATCATCTTATGTAATTTAATCCTATTGAATGTCCCCAAGAAGTAGGCTAATAGTCCCATTTTACATAATAGGGTAGGTAGTGAGACTATCAGAAATTGACTTGCCCAAGGTCAGATAGCTGGTAAGCCATAGAGCCAGAGGCAAATTCAAATTTATCTTACTCTCTACTCTATTTTGCTTTTAATTGAAAGAGCACTGGTTTTGTAATCTGAAAGATTTAGGTTTGAGTTCTTCCTTTTGGAGAGTAGAGACATGTGCTCTCTCAAGTAGGGACTATTACTTGCTTAAACCTTAGTTTGTCTTTTAAATGGGCATGATATTTGTTTCAGTATGGATCTGAGAATTAGATAACTAAAGTAAGTTCCTTGCATAGGGCCTTGCATACAGCAATTGAGGAGTGTCCATTATTTTTTATATTAAAGCCATTATTTTTATTGATGATGGTATAATTCATCTGGGGACAGAAAAGTAAACTGTATTAAGTTCACACATGGAAACTACCATGTTACCAGATCTGTATCTCTTACTATCTTAGTCCATTTGTGCTGCTATAACAAAATACCTGAGACTGAATAGTTTATAAAGAACTGAAATTTGTTTTTTCACAGTTGTGGAGGTTGAGAAGTTCAAGATCAAGGTGCTGCAGGTTCAGTTGTCTGGTGAGTATTGCTCTGGGTTCCCAGATAGAGACTTGATGCTACATCTTCCAGGGCAGAAGGCAGAAAGGCAAAAATGATTAAACTCATTCTGTCCAGCCCTTTTATAAGGACACCTAATACCATTAACAAGGGAGGAGCCCTCATGGCCTAATCACCTCTTACAGGCCCTGCCTCTTAATACTATTACCTTGGCAACACCTGAATTTTGGAGGGGACACATTCAAACCATCGCATTTACCAAGTCACACGAGCCCTGTGACTGAAGTCACATCTTAAATTGTTGAGAATGTAGTCCCCTCTTGACATTTGCAATCCCATTTCCTAGCCGTGTGTCCAAAGAGTTATTTGGAGACCTGATGGTTTTGCTTTCTTTTCTTGGAAGCTGTGTTTTTCTGGTCAGCCGCTACCTATATAAAATTTAATGCCAGACTCTCTTCTTCTGTCGGCACACCTGTCTGAAACCTTCCTACTATACTGGAATGATCTATTTTCAATCCTTCGTGAGACTCTTTTTGGATTAAAGGTCAGGTGTCCACATCTGCAGCTCTCACTTTCCTTCCGCAGCTGCCTGTGCAAATAGCAGTGTTACATTGACTTGTTTGCCAGCTTCCTCCTGCCGTTCTGGCTACCAGTCAGATATTAAAGCCTTACCTTGGCTGGGTGCTTGCTTGCTTTTGCCACTGGTTTTAGGATTAGAAATGCAGGATCTTCAGATTCAAAATTGTTAAATGAAACCAAGAAAAATAATTAAAGAAACCCCACAAGCGACCAGTGACCTTTCAGTCTATAGCAAATGGCTTATATGGTGTTTTAAATTAAATGTATCTTGAAATTCCTCTTTCTTGTTGTAGCATAGAGTTTTTTTTTTTTCTTTTAAAATATGCTTTCTCAACCTTGGGAAGTCTGCCTTGTTTCCAAGAAACAGAATCCAGAATCCAAATCAGTCTATAATAACTTAGTGGTACGATGGGGGTGGCACGGGGCATGCTGGTAGTTTCCTATTATCTTGGTACTTTATTTTTGTCAAGTTAACCTACATGGAACAAATATTTAAATAGCTGTGAGGTGCCAAATGAAACTTACATGGTAAGGGGCATAAATTAACCAAAGAGAAAAGGTCCAGGGAGCTACAGGTAGGAAGGTAGTTTATAGAATTAAACAGGAAACATGAGGATGCTATACCTCAGCCCAGAGGGAGGCCAAGTTCTAGTTCTGATACAACCAGGAAGCCCTAGTTCCTATGAAAGAGCTACCAAGTGAACACCTCCTTCCCAACAACCTCTATGGTTCAAAGAACACAGGGCAGCTGGGCAGAGAGTGCCTGGAGAAAGGAATGGAGACAGAAAGGAATTTTGCAAATGGTATTGATGGAAATCAAAGCCTCCTCAGTGGTATAATTGACTATGTTGCTGATTTAAAACCAAAATTTCAATTGCTTGCAGACAGACACAGAGAAATAGTTTTTCAATTTGAAATCTACACTCTGATACAACAAAGCAATGTCCTGGTATGCCCTTTGGTGGGATAAAGACAGAGAAACAGTAGGAAAAACCGTCAGGCATTTAAATAGTATCAGACAGATATTAATATCATTCTTAGGTACCTTGGGCTAAGGAGTTCAACAACTTCTTACAAAGGAGTTAGAAGTTGATACCAGAGCCTTACTGTATGGAAATTGAAATTTGCCATTTATTAGCTATGCTTGAGCTGACTGTAATGAACTGCAAATAAAAATTCCCAAGTAAAAGCACGCCTCTGGGTTTTGTGAGAGATGACTGTTAGGACCGGGTGGTCCAGCCTGATCATTGCAGTCCAGGGCCCACAGAGGGCATACCAGATCCATGACAATGCTAACACAATATGCTTTATTTATCAAGGTGGACTTCTAGCTGTGCTGTTGCAATAGCCTTGAGAAGAACATCGAAGACAAAATCTCTTCCTTGGAAGATCTTACAATCTAGGGAAAGGCAGGATACATTAACATGTAACAAATACATACAGTTATTTTTATCTATATTTTATTATCAAAGTAATATATATGCATAGTAAAAACAAGGCAAACATTAAATAACAGAACAACGTACAATTTTAAACAACAGTTCTTTGACCTGCTACTCCCCAATTCCAGTGTCACTATCCAGACTCAACTTCTATTAACCGCTTCTGTTTTCAGATTTTCTGGTAGTTTTGATTCCAGCACTAAAAAAGATGTGTAAGCTACTTTATCTTTATTGGTAAACATTACATATTATCTATTGCTCCTCATGATTCTAGATGTGGCTCACCTCCTTCTTATGTCTGTCAGCTTTTATAATTGTACATTGCATTTATTTTTACTGATTACTTTTGTAACTAATTTACTCAAATCTGTATTTTTCTATTCCACCAACTTTTTTTGCAAGTCTTTTTTTTTTTTTATTTCAGCATATTATGGAGGTACAAATGTTTAGGTTACATGTGTTGCCTTCCCCCCTCCCCCACCAGAGTCAGAGCTTTAAGCATGTCCATCGCCCAGATGGTGCGCATCCTCATTATGTATGTATATACCCATCCCCTTCTCTCCCCTCCCATCTGCCTGATGCCCAATAAATGTTATTCCTATATGTCCACTTAAGTGTTGATCAGTTAATACCAATTTGCTGGTGAGTACATGTGGTGCTTATTTTTCCATTCTTGGGATACTTCACTTAGTAGAATGGGTTCTAGCTCTATCCAGGAAAATACAAGAGGTGCTATATCACCATTGTTTCTTATACCTGAATAGTACTCCATGGTATACATATACCACATTTTATTAATCCACTCATGTATTGATGGGCACTTGAGTTGTTTCCACATTTTTGCAATTGTGAATTGTGCTGCTATAAACATTCGAGTGCAGATGTCTTTTTTATAGAGTGTCTTTTGTTCTTTTGGGTAGATTCCCAGTAATGGGATTGCTGGATCAAATAGTAGATCTATTTGTATCGCTTTAAGGCATCTCCATATTGCTTTCCACAGAGGTGGCACTAGTTTGCAGTCCCACCAGCAGTGTAGGAGTGTTCCTATATCTCTGCATCCACGCCAATGTTTATTCTTTTGGGATTTTTTGATAAAGGCCATTCTTGCTGGAGATAAGTGATATCTCATTGTGGTTTTGATTTGCATTTCCCTGATGATTAGAGATGTTGAGCGTTTTTTCATATGTTTGTTGGCCATTATTCTGTCTTCTTTTGAGAAGTTTCTGTTCATGTTCTTTGCCCACTTTTTGATAGGTTGTTTGACTTTTTTTCTTGCTGATTTTCCTGAGTTCTAGATAGATTCTAGTTATCAGTCCTTTATCGGCTATATAGCTTGTGAAAATTTTCTCCCATTCTGTAGGTTGTCTGTTTGTTCTCTTGACAGTTTCTTTGTCTGTGCAGAAACTTCTTAATTTGATCAGGTCCCATTTATTTCTTTTTGTTGTTGCTTTGATTGCTTTTGGGGTATTCTTCATAAATTCTTTGCCTAGGCCAATGTCTAGAAGAGTATTTCCAAACTTTGCCTCTAGAATTCTAATAGTTTCACACCTTAGATTTAAGTCTGTTAGCCAGGATGAGTTGATTTTTGTGAGAGGTGAAAGATATGGATCCTGTTTTAGTCTTCTACACGTGGCTATCCAGTTTTCCCAGCACCATTTATTGAATAAGGATTCTTTTCCCCAGTGTATGATTTTGTCTGCTTTGTCAAAGATTAGATGGCTATATGAGGATGGTTTTATATCTGTGTTCTGTGTTCTGTTCCACTGGTCAATGTCCCTGTTCTTGTGCCAATCACAAGCTGTTTTAATTAATATAGCCTCTTCTTTCTCTGGTATTCTTTCCTTCAAGCCTCCTTTATCTCTTGCCCAACTCCGTGGTCAGAGCCTGAATTTTGAGATCAGTCTGAGCAAGTGTGAGACAGGTCTCTACCAAAAATAGAGAAAAATTAGCTGGGCATGATGGTGCACACCTGTAGCCCCAGCTACTTGGGAGGCTAGAACAGGAGGATCGCTTGAGCTCAGGAGTTTGAGCTTGCAGTGAGCTGTGATGATGTCAGTGCACTCTAACCAGTGCAACTAGAGTGAGGCTCTGCCTCAACAACAACAAAAGACTGGTAAGTTTTACTTTCTGTTTTTTAAGGAGACTTAAGCCTCTCTTGCTTTGTATGTGAATTATTTAAATAGGAATATAAAGGCCTTTACAACGAAGTGAGGCATGTGTAGTCCAGGTTATTGGTTATTCTAGTTACTTTCCCAATTCTGAGACCTGAAAAATCAGTAAAGTTGAGAAGGACTCACAAGGCATTAGGACATGATCTGAGTCTTGAAAAATGCAGACAAATCAGATGGGCAGTGGAGGTTGAAGGTAGGGAGCAGATAAGACAACAGAATATTCCAAATGAGTCTGATTTAATGGGCTGATGGACGTGTGACAAGGCTAGATGGAGGAAATTATTTCTTGGAGCAAAATGGTTTGTAAGGTTGGAAGGGTTGTTTAGAACCAATGATTGGCTGTGGGTCTTAGGCTCTCTGTTCCTAAAAGTTGTAGCCTCCACTTCCACTGCCTCCATGTCCTGCTTTTCCTCTCTCTGTCTCTCTTTGTAACCTCTCTCAATCCAGTGGAAGTCCACATAGCTCGATTAAAATTGGTCTCAAAGACCATGAGAAATGTATCTAATAGTTTAGTTCTAACCCACATCCTCCCTTATGTTTTTGTGGAATTTGATACTATTGGGCCTCATCTGCTTCTTGATACTTCTTACTTCCTTTATCTTGCGGCATTGTGTTCTTCATGTTCTTCTCCTGCCACTCAATCTTATTCTTTTGTCTTCTTCAGTACATTTTCTTTGAGGGTCTGCTGGGTTTCTGCACTTGACTCGTCTCATTCTGTTGGACATTTTGTTAATTTCTGTCTTCCTTATGCTGTTGATTCCTGAATACCAGCTTTGACTTCCTTCTGGTTCCAGATCTACTTCACATCAACAAGAGTTTGCCAAACATCTGGATCTGAATAATCAGTCAAATCTTTTTATACTCAGCATGTGCAAAACTTACCATATTCCCTTCCATGTCAGCTCCCCTTCCTGTTTCCTCTGTCTTTGTTAGTTCTGTCATTGTCCTTTAAATCAGCTGGATTCAAACCTCATTTGATTTTAACCCCTGAATAGCCTTCATATCCAGTCTCTCACTGGGTTCTATTAATATTCTACACATGTTATTTCCTTAGCCTTTCATCCCACCTCAAAATTTCTAGTATTGCAACTCATAGGGCCTCCTTTTGGTCTTATGTGTGTTGAGGTAAAGTAGTTCTCCTAAATATCTTCTAATACCTCCTCATTTCAATCAGTCCTTCACAATAATACTGCACAAAGATAGGTTGCATTATTCTATCCCCTTCAATGGTTTCACATTATTGGTAGAATAAAGGCCTAATGCTTTTGCCTGGCTTGGCCATTCAAGATCATCCACATTACTTTCTCAGAAATACCTTTCACTATTTCCTCTCATGCAGCCTCTAGTTGGCAATATTGAATTTCTCA